GCTTCTTGGTTTGAGGTAAGGCTGAAAAGGCGAGGGAAGGAGTTGGCCAAGGTTGAGTTACCCCACCAAAGATCAGTCCAGAACTTAATTCTATCGCCTTTGCCCACCTTACATATGATAAAAGAGATTAAAAAAGTGTAAGTCGAGGTTATACCTTTCCAAGGGTGGGTCTCTTTGACCCGATTCAAGTGAAGCTTGTTATCCCAACCATTGGCGTGCTTCCCGTATTTGCTAGTGATTACAGCAGTCCATAGCGCACTTGGTTCTAGAGGGAATCGCCACAACCATTTATTGAGAAGAGCTGTGTTTCTTTCTTTCAAGTAACCTACTCCCAACCCACCACCCTCCTTTGGTTTGCAGACCTGAGACCACCTCACAAGGTGAGGGCCCCTTTCCTCACCTCCTTCCCAAATAAAATTTCTCTGAAGCTTTTCTAACTGAATAGCAAATAGAAAGGTAGTAGGTGGGTAGGTTTTCCAAAGAGGCTCTAATGAGAGTAAGTCTCCCCCTTTGGACAGGTAGTTCCTTTTCCATGAGGCTAACTTCTCACATTTTTCTAGTATTGGTTCCCAAAAACTTTGATTTCTCGGATTCCCTCCAAGAGGCATCTCCAGATAGGAGAAGGGGAGATTCTCTGCTTTGCATTCCAAGATCTCTGTGAAGGCATTCAAGAAATGTGCACCATCTAGATTTAGGCCAACGATACTACTCTTAGAGAAGTTGACTTGCAGTCCAGAAATCCATTCAAAGTAGGTGATGACCCTTTTCAGATTTGAAACGATTTCTTCATCAGCCTCTAGGAAAAGGACAGTGACGTCGGCGAACTAGAGATGTGAAATCTGAGTGGCTTCCCGTCCGACTTCAAAACCTATCAATAGGCCCAGAGAAATAGCCTTATTCACCAGTTAGCTAAAAATTTCTGTGACATGAGTAAAAAGCAATGGGGAGAGGGGGCAGCCTTGACTTAACCTCTGCTGGCATTAAAATATCCTTTTGGTTGCCTGTTAATTAGTAATGAGAACCAGGTAGAACTTATACATCCCTAAACCCACTTAATCCACTTTCTTCCAAACCCCATTAGCCTCATAGTTTCCATGAGACACTCCCAGTCTACTTTGTCGTATGCTTTTTCCAAGTCGAGTTCCATAATCACACCTGGTTTGCCATTCAGCTTCCTCTCTTCTACGCATCCATTTGCTATTAGGATGCTGTCAACAATTTGTCACTTTTTGACGAATGCAAATTGATTTGGGGAAATGATTTCACCTAAAACTTTCTTTAGTCTTTCAGCTAGAACCTTTGCTAAAATTTTGCACACTCCCAATCAAGCTGATAGGTCTGAAGTCTTTTACTTCTAAAGTACCCTTTCTCTTGGGAATCAAACATATGAAGTTAGAGTTATTTCCTTTGTTGACAATGGCTGAATGATAGAAATCATTGAACACCTGTATCAAATCTGAACCGATAAAACTCCAGCAAATCTGATAAAAGAAAATTGGGAATCCATCGGGGCCAGGGGCTCTATCTCCCAAAGGCTTAAAATATGTTTATACTGAAAGCCAAAGATCTTATCTTTTCAATGCAATGAAATAAAAGACATGATCCCTCTTTTATCCATGCATTTACAATCTGTGAATCCCATCCTGCCTCCACTCAATGTAGTACCAATGAAGGTCACAGTTTTAAACTGTATATTGGAATCAAGATCTCGACTTGGATTGAATCCCCTGAACTTATCTCTGAATCATTGTTTGGTTTCCAGAACTTCAAAATCTCATATCCAGTCAATAGTCAATGTTGACAAATTGAGCATAGCAGGCACACTAAAATCAGTGGTTTTCTGGTACCTTTCGGCAAGAAAGAAATGCACGAGTCTTCAAGAGCAAGATAAGTTCTGTTGTTTCTATTTATCAGAAAATTTTGGGAAACATGTTCTCTTGGTTGGCTGGTCACAGGTTGTTTAAGGGTGTAGATTTTGAATACCTTTTTGTACAGGATAATCTTTTTATATAGCAGGGTGGGGGTCAAGGTTAGATGGAACAGATTTTCTTGGTTCCTCAGTACATCATCTTGCTTTACATTCTCTTGGTTGGCTGGTCACAGGTTGTTTAAGGGTGTAGATTTTGAATCCCTTTTTGTACAGGATAATCTTTTTATATAGCAGGGTGGGGATCAAGGTTAGATGGAACAGCTTTTCTTGGTTCCTCAGTACATCATCTTGCTTTACATTTTTTTTGTTCATACTAATACAACGATACTTTACCTTTTTCAGAAAAAAAAAAATCAGGATAAAAAAGGAGTGATCTTGAAGAAGTGGTATGTTGAGTGTATTCAAAATCAATTAGGACCAAGCCCTTTAAACTTTCTTTTACTTTATTTCTGATCGTTTTTGGAACCCAAATGTAATTCCATGTGGAGGAAAGCCACCTCCAATTTTATAAAACAAAGAAATCAAATTTAAACCCAAAAGGTGCAAGGGGCTAAAACCTTCCAACCCTTAAAATAAAATGAAAGCACAAGAAAGCCTCAGGAGTCAGGGGGCATTGACCTGACTCCTAACTGGCATATAAAAGCAAAAGGATAAAATAAAATAAATAAAAGTATAATAACAGCAAACCAAATAAAAGTCTGGCCTGACACCATTATCTCACCCTTTCTTTTAGTATCTTTATCAAGATATGATGTCTTAAAGACCATCAGGTTGTGGACATTGTTTGCTTAAGATTTATGTTCCAGGGGAATGTTGAACTTAAATGTTTCAAGAATTGGAATTCTAAAACACATCCATCCCACCCTGTGGTGCACTGAGAGGGGGTGGGGTTCTAAGGGAGCTGGCCTACAGAAATTCTAGACACACTTGGCCTTTATTAGAACGTGGCAATAACCACTTTCATTGAATGGACCAGACTTTCATATATACGAGCAGAAACCTCCAAAATTACTAAACCATGTTTAGAATTACAAGGTTTCACTGCTCGTGAAAAAAAAAACATAAAACCGTCAGGATGTTCAAAAGTCTAAAATGTTAAAACAACATATGCATTAAATATGACATGGATGTTATCCATGTGGCTAATATCTCAATATCTCACATCCTGGACCTATAGCACCACTTCAGTTTGAAAGTTTGACACCAGAAAAGACAAAAAATTTATCAACTGCCAACAATGAATCAAAGAATCAAAATGTACATTATAAGTTTGCTACAGAAGGCAATATGGTGGTGCCATGTTATCCTCAAATTTTATCATTTAGTTTCTGAAACCTATAACAGATTATATCATAGGCTGTAAAACTAAAATATTCAGATCGAAGAAAGAAAAAAAAAGACAATTATCAGTAAAAGCATCAGAACATACTGAAGTGTCAGAAAATGCAAGGTTTAAATTGGATAAACGAAGTTCTGTCTTTTCAAACTTACTTGCATTTAGGGTGTTGATCACAACCAATAAAATAGCCTTCACCGAACCTACTCACCTTGAAGACCAAAGTGCCTGTCAAACAACTTCAGAGAGTTTATAGCAAAGGTTACATAAAGAATTTAAGTTTTGAAGCATAAATAGTTGGTTAGATAACTTAATACAACAGAAACATATAATAAAATTAACTATAAACTACAAATACCACCAATTCAAACCCTAAATGACTGAATTTGTAACTGCTTAAACATTAGATAAAATAAAGTATCAAACAAAAAAACTCCAGCAATAGAACAGGCAAATATACAAGAAAAAAAAAGCGAAACACTGTTCATGTTCAAAACTCTCAAGCTTGATAGCATTAACCTATAATGCAAGCCTTCCCTACTTGGTTCATGTTGTCTTTTATGAAGTGTAAATAGACTGGGCCGAATGGACCCTAACAGCTGCTTGTGTGATATCCTTTATTTTTATCTTTTATTTTATGTTGATGGGCCTCACTTAATGGGCCTGCTATTTGTTCTTGTTTTATTTTCTTTATGTAATTGCCAAGCTGGCCGCCCACTTAAAGACATACTTGTCATCATTAATTTTTGGAGTTTATTAAAATAGGGTTAGAGGAGAAGGGTGAATCATTCGACTTCTTCTTCTCTTACCTTTTCTCTTCGACATACACAGCTCTTGCACTATTATTCAGATCTGATTTGCACTGTTAATTACTGATTTTAAACCTGATATTAGAAGACTGAATCACATCTTGAAGAAATCCAAGCCAAGATGTCAAAGGAACTAAGGAAGCACGTAATCATGATGGGGAGAAGACGAGAAGTGAATAGAGATAGTTAAACATGTATAAAAACCAGAAACTAATAAGGCAAAGAAGACTTAGTACTTGTTGAAGGTTCTAAAGGGCCAATGATAAATCCAGAAGAAAAATCTACGTTTGGGTAGTGAGAGGAGATTCAATAGCCCTTCTTTGCATAAAGATGTCTTGCATCAAGCAGAATTGAGGAAAAGTATTCATGCTACTGATCACATCTATGTGGGATAAGAAGATCAAAACTATTATAAATAATATAAATAGATATAAGCATGTCCTTGTGCATATTATTTTGTACCGAAAGCTTGATACAAGAGAAACTGAACCAATTATATTCTGAATCAGCACTGGCTTTATGCATCAGTGTGCTCTTCTCTACGAAATAGGAACTCTTCCCCTATTTGTTCTTCAATAATACAAAAATTTAACTTATCCAAAGAAAGAACAAGTGCCAACATAAACAACAACCCAAGGATCTAGGTAACCAAGCACCTAAATGCAATACTTAGATGCATACATGCCTGCATACATACATATATGCATGTATTCACAAAAATGGGGATGTACGTATGCAGGCATGTAAGTGAATGCATGCATACATGCCTAGATGTGATCAGTAGTCAACTAATGTGATCACTAGGCATGTGATCCTTCATTACCAAAATACTTGGGTTGTTGAGCCCTTTCCATTAGCCAACTAATTTGTCAAAACATACATATATGCATGTTCAGAAAAATGGGGAAAAGTCGAGTCTATCAAAGAGTAGAATATGTAGTCTAATTAGAAAATAACAAGGCTCAAACGATACAAGATAATTCTGTTCCAAATCATTTTCTTTATTTATTCATGGTATTTGAGTCTAGATAAGAAGCATTTTTTTTCATCAGAAAGAAGTTTATTTTATTGATAGTAAATATGTATAATCAACACAGAAGGAGGAATAAAAACTCTACCATATACAGATTTACAAAACAACTCCATGACATCATTTCGGAGAACTACATTTTTTATCAGTAACAATAAAAATTTTTTATTAATGATCTAAAAAGAGAACACATAAGTTGCTTTGTAAGGTAGATAACCTTGACTAGCCACCCCTGTTGATAGAGTTACAACTTCCCCCAAAACAAATGATTTCTCGTAGCACCCTGCTTTGCCAAGCCAACTGCCAAACTATTTGCAGCTCAAGGAACCCATTCTACTCTTGTCCTCATTTGCATTTCAAATAATTAAATTTTCAAGCCCCAAATTAGTGTTAAATTAACTATTCCCACCTTGAATCAAAATTAGAGTCCATCTCTTTGAATGAGTTAATGTCCTTCAAATTCTGTGCAAGATACACAACCAACCTTCAAAATGTCTTCAAATTCTTTCTTTCCAAATGCTCCATATTACTTTAAGAGAGGGTGATCTTCCATAAAATAGCTCCCTTAGCTTCAAATAATATTCCATAAGAAGCATTCTTTTTGGCTAGTAAGCTTAAAAACAATGGAGTCATTAGGATTCTCTGTCACATGGAAGTGGCATGTCAGACCTAGACCATCCATTTGGTGAAAGACTCTGAGTCATCCACATGCATAATGACCTTGTTCCTTGTGTCCCACACCCAACCATGTATTGAACCTTTCCCCATTGAACGAATGAATGATAACCCCGACTTCATTAGATTTTTGAAATAAATGAATATTAGAAAATCCCTGCTTTTTCCACATAGAAGAGGATAAATAGGCTTAAACTTGACCCAGAACTACTTAAAATGAAAGATCAACTTTATTTTGATTGGAAACGGTAACTTCATTAATACAAAAATTAGTATACAACTATCAAACCCTATATTAGGGAGTTGAACCCACAGTCATCTTTTTACAACACTACCCAGAACAAAACTCTCCCCTATAGACCCATTTATATCAAAAGTTATTAAGAACAGATCCAAAAACATTTTCTTATTGGTAACTGATGAGGGCAGATTCGGTCCTCCATTGACATCATGACACATGGCATCTCAGAACAACTAGATGACATCCCAACATCACCTAGGCGATGACTTGCCTTGGCCAAAATGATGGAGTCCCAGTTGGCGACCTACCTGCCTCTGTCGCCGACCTGGCGACCTGCCTTTGCTGCCGACCT